TTGTAGATTGATATGCAAAGTAATATATTGATACACAAATAAAATCATTTATTATAGATTGATACACAAATAAAAATATTTATTATAGATTAATGCACTAAATATTTATTATGGATTGATACACAAAGTAATATAGATTGATACACAAATCAAAGTATTTATTATAGATTGATACACAGAGTAATATAGATTGATATAAATAAATGCATTTATTATAGATTGATACAGAAACAAATTATTAATTAATACACAAATCAAAGCATTTATTATTGATTGATACAAAAACAAAATATTATTAATTTATACACAAATCAAAGTATTTATTATAGATTGATACAGAAACAAATTATTAATTGATACACAAATTAAAGTATTTATTATAGATTGATACACAAATAAAAGCATTTATTGTAGATTGATACACAAATATATTGATACACAAATCAAAGTATTTATTATAGATTGATACTGAAATAAAAGTATTTATTATAGATTGATACACAAATCAAAGTATTTATTGTAGATTGATATGCAAAGTAATATATTGATACACAAATAAAATCATTTATTATAGATTGATACACAAATAAAAATATTTATTATAGATTAATGCACTAAATATTTATTATGGATTGATACACAAAGTAATATAGATTGATACACAAATCAAAGTATTTATTATAGATTGATACAGGAACAAATTTTTATTAATTGATACACAAATCAAAGTATTTATTATAGATTGATACACAGAGTAATATAGATTGATATAAATAAATGCATTTATTATAGATTGATACAGAAACAAATTATTAATTAATACACAAATCAAAGCATTTATTATTGATTGATACAAAAACAAAATATTATTAATTTATACACAAATCAAAGTATTTATTATAGATTGATACAGAAACAAATTATTAATTGATACACAAATCAAAGCATTTATTATTGATTGATACAGAAACAAATTATTAATTGATACACAAATAAAAGCATTTATTGTAGATTGATACACAGTAATATATTGATACACAAATTAAAGTATTTATTATAGATACAGAAACAAATTATTAATTGATACACAAATTAAAGTATTTATTGTAGATTGATACAGAAACAAATTATTAATTGATATGCAAATTAAAGTATTGTAGATTGATACACAAAGTAATATATTGATACACAAATCAAAGTATTTATTGTAGATTGATACAAAAATAAAATATTATTAATTGATATACAAATCAAAGTATTTATTATAGATTGATACAGAACCAAATTATTAATTGATACACAAATCAAAGTATTTATTATAGCTCGATACACAAATGTATTTATTATAGATTAATACACAAAACATTTATCATAGATTAATGCACAAATAAAATATTACAGATTGATACACAAGTGGAAGTATTTATTATAGCTTGATATGCAAATAAAATCATTAATTATAGCTTGATATAAAATTTATTGTAGTTTGATACATTAAATATTAATTATAGCTTGATACACAAATGTTTATTATAGATTGATACACAGAGAGAAATATTTAATTTCACACAGAAATAAAAATATTGAAAACAAAGTGTTTATTATAGATTGATACACAAAACTATTCAAGTTTGATACACTTTATTAGAGATAAATGTACAACTAAAAAATTAATTCTCGATTGATACACAAAATCTTTAATAATTGATACACAAATATTTAAAGTTTGATACACACAATTATTTATTGTAGTTTGGTACACAAAGCATTGATTACAGCTGGATGCAATAATAATGGAGCAGTAATAAAGAGAAATGTTTATTATAATTTGATACCCAAATTGAAGTGTTTGTTAGGGATTGACACACAACTAAACAAATACAATTATTTATTGCAGTTTGCTACACAAACAGGAGCATTTCCAGATTGGTACAAAAATAGGAATATTTGTAGATTGGTGCACAAATAAAACATTTATAGATTGTTACACAGATAAAACATTTCTGGATTGTTACACAAATAAAACATTTCTGGATTGTTACACAGGTAAACATTTCTGGATTGTTACACAAATAAAACATTTCTGGATTGTTACACAGATAAAACATTTATAGATTGTTACACAAATAAAACATTTCTGGATTGATCCACAAATAAAACATTTCTGGATTGATCCACAAATAAAACATTTATGGATTGTTACACAAATAAAACATTTCTAGATTGGTACACAAATAAAACATTTCTGGATTGATCCACAAATAAACATTTCTAGATTGATCCACAAATAAAACATTTCTGGGTTGTTCCCCAAACCATTTCTGGATTGATACACAGAGAAAACATTTCTAGATTGTTCCACAAACCATTTCTGGATCATTACACAGATAAAACGTTTCTAGACTGATCCACAAATCATTTCTGGGTTGTTCCCCAAACCATTTCTGGATCATTACACAGGTAAAACATTTCTGGATTGATACACAAACCATTTCTGGATTGTTACACAAACCATTTCTGGACTGTTACACACATAAACATTTCTGGGTTGTTCCACAAACCATTTCTAGATTGATCCCCAAACCATTTCTAGATTATTACACAAATAAACATTTCTGGATTAATCCACAAACCATTTCTAGATTGATCCACAGATAAAACATTTCTGGATTGTTACACAGATAAAACATTTCTGGGTTGATCCACAGATAAAACATTTCTAGAATGATCCACAAACCATTTCTAGACTGATTCACAAACCATTTCTGGATCATTACACAAACCATTTCTGGGTTGTTCCACAAATAAAACATTTCTGGAATGATCCACAAACCACTTTGGATTGTTACACAGATCAAACATTTCTGGATTGTTACACAAATAAACATTTCTAGACTGATCCCCAAAGCATTTCTTGACTGATCCACAAACCATTTCTGGGCTGTTCCCCAAACCATTTCTGGGTTGTTCCCCAAACAAACACCTCCAGACTGATCCCCAAACCGTTTCTGGGCTGTTCCCCAAACCGTTTCTGGGTTGTTACACACACAAACACCTCCAGACTGTTCCCCAAACCGTTCCTGGGCTGTTACACACACAAACATCTCCAGACTGATCCCCAAACCATTTCTGGGTTGTTCCCCAAACCGTTTCTGGGCTGTTACACACACAAACATCTCCAGACTGATCCCCAAACCGTTTCTGGGCTGTTACACACACAAACACCTCCAGACTGATCCCCAAACCGTTTCTGGGCTGTTACACACACAAACACCTCCAGACTGATCCCCAAACCATTTCTGGGCTGTTCCTGCAGGCCAAGGCCCCAAGCTGATCAAGATCTTCATCAACCTGCCGCGCTCGATGGACTTTGAGGAGGCGGAGCGCAGCGAGCCCACGCAGGCGCTGCAGCTGGGCCCCGAGGACATCCGCGAGGACGGGATCATCCAGCTGCGCTACGTCAAGTTCCAGAACGTCAACAGCGTCACCGTGAGTGCCGGGACAGCCGGGGACAGACTGGGATAACCTGGGACAGACTGGGACAGCACCTGGGACAGACTGGGACAGCACCTGGGACAGACTGGGACAGCTCCTGGGACAGACAGGGACAGACTGGGACAGCACCTGGGACAGACAGGGACAGCACCTGGGACAGACTGGGAGAGACAGGGACAGCATGGGACAGCTCCTGGGACAGACTGGGACAGTCTGGGACAGACTGGGCTGGTCAGGAGAGCTCTCCTTCACCAGACACGGGGACACAAACCCTGTGAGGAACAGCTGGAGGAGCTGGGGGTGTTCATCCTGCAGGAAGGGACACTCACAGGTGACCTCACAGCTCCTCAAAGGAGGTGTTGCTCAGGTGAAGGTCACTCCATCACCAGACACGGGGACACAAACCCTGTGAGGAACTCTCCACAGCTCCTCAAAGGAGGTTTTGCTCAGGTGAAGGTCACTCTCCATCACCAGGCAGCACACACAGGAGAGGACACAGCCTGGAGCTGCAGCAGGAAGGAGAAGTGGAGGTTGGAAGTCAGGCAGGAGCTCTTCATGGGAAGGGTGATAAAGCCTGGGGGGTGGTGGAGCCACCATCCCTGGATGTGGCACTCAGTGAGGTGCTGCCATGGCTTGGTCTCCACGGTCTCCAAGGTCTGTTCCAGCCCAGGATCCCGGGATAAATTGATGGGAATTCCGTTTCTCATCTCCTGCTTTCCTGGCTGCTGGCTGGGAACCTCCCAGCATTCCCAAAAGCCGATGGGAAGGAGCAGGGAAGAGCTTTTGTTTGCCGTGGATGACATTCCAGAGGTTTCCATGGGTTCTTTCCCGCTGCAGCTGTTCGTGCAGTCCAACCACGGCGACGAGGAGACGACGATCATCTCGTACTTCACCTTCATCGGCACCCCGGTGCAGGCCACCAACATGAACGACTTCAAACGCGTCAGTGACCCGCAAACGGGAACGCTATCCCGGAATTCCCGGGATCTGCTGCGGGGTCGGATCGGGGCGTGCTCAAAATCCACGGGAAAAGCTGGGAACACCCAGAGGGAGCTGGGCTTGTGATGGCTGGGACACCTGGATCGGGGTTGGGAATGTGGGTTGGGAATGTGGGTTGGGAATCTGGGTTGGGAATGTGGGTTGGGAATGTGGGGTTGGGAATGTGGGATTGGGAATGTGGGTTGGGAATGTGGGGTTGGGAATCTGGGATTGGGAATGTGGGTTGGGAATGTGGGATTGGGAATGTGGGTTGGGAATGTGGGTTGGGAATGTGGGTTGGGAATCTGGGATTGGATTTTGGGAATCTGGATTTGGGAATCTGGATTTTGGGAATCTGGATTTTGGGAATATTTTCCCACACTTTTCTGTTTGGAATCACACCAGGAATACACAAATTCTCAGGAATGCCGAATTTAACTCTGGGAATAGCCTGGAAAAATCCTTTGGGGATGGAGAATGGCCAGGATTTGGGTTTTGGGACAGGAATTCCATGGATTTCTGGATTATTCCATAGGTTTTTATTCCCAGTGGTTCAGCACTGGGGGTTTGGGGTTTCAGGGATTGGAATTCCATGGATTTCTGGATTTCTGGGAGCAGGAATCTCCATCCCAGCTTCCCAGAGCTGCTCCTGCCCAGCTTGGAATTTTCATTCCCGTTTTTTTTTTTATCCCATTTCCAGGTAGTTGGGAAGAAAGGAGAGAGCCACTAGGAATCAAAGCCTCATCCCGCTGCGAGATTCCCACTTTTCCGACTCCTGGATAACGGCTCGGCCCTCCCAGGGACTCTCACTTGGATTTCCCGCCATTCCCAATAAATCATCGCTCCCAGCTGGAATGTTTTCCCTGGATTTGTAAATAAAATTCCCGATTTTTTTTTGCCAAGCGGAATAATTTCGTTATTCCAGGAATTGTGGCTCTTTCTTTGTTATTCCCACAAAAACCGCGGAGAAATCCGGGATATTCCCACAAAAACATGGAGAAATCCGGGATATTCCCACAAAACCACAACATGGAGAAATCCCGGAAAATCGGAGGGAGCAGATTCCAAACCCGACATTCCATGAATTTCCACCCCAAATTCCTGAGGGTTTTTTTCCATGGATTGGGATATTCCCAATTTCCTTTGCCGGGATCATTTCCTCTCTCTGATAATTTAATTAAGGAGATTAATTAATTAATTACAAATCTCCATCCCATGTGGAATTATTTTTTTCCCCAAGGAATTTTCCCGGGAAAGCAGAGATCGGCTCCTTATCCACAGGATTCCGGGAATTCCCGGGAAAACCCGCTCGGGGTTTAATTAATCTCGGGAAATTGAATTAAAATCCAATTAAAAACTTCAATCCCGCCCTAATCGCTGCTCCCCTGCCGGATCCTCACCCCGAGGAAAGCCGGGAATTCGGCTGGAAAAGCTCCGTGGGGCTGGGAAATGTGGAATTCCAGAGGTTTGGGGATGGGAAATGTGGAATTCCAGAGGTTTTGGGATGGAAATGTGGAATTCCAGAGGTTTGGGGATGGGAAATGTGGAATTCCAGAGGTTTTGGGGTGGGAAATGTGGAATTCCAGATGTTTGGGGATGGGAAATGTGGAATTCCAGATGTTTTGGGATGGGAAATGTGGAATTCCAGATGTTTTGGGGATGGGAAATGTGGAATTCCAGAGGTTTGGGGATGGGAAATGTGGAATTCCAGATGTTTGGGGATGGGAAATGTGGAATTCCCCTTTTTTGTGTTTTTTTTATATTTTTTATCTTTTATTCTTTGGAGATTTTGGGGGTTTTTTGGGTTTTTTATTCCTTTTTTTGTGTTTTTTTTTGTATTTTTTTATATTTTTTTTCTTTGGGGATTTTTGTGGATTTTTGGGGTTTTTTTTCCTTTTTGTGGTTTTTTTTTAATATTTTTTATCTTTTTTTCTTTTTTTTTCTTTGTGTTTTTTGTTTTCTTTTGTTTTTTGTTTTTGTTTGTTTTTTAGGTTTTACTGGCATATAAAAAAATTAATTATTAATTAAATTTATTATTTAAATTTATTATTTAAATTATTTTTTGCGTTTTTTTGGGGGTTGTTTTCTTTGTGTGGGGGTTTTGTTTGGGGTTTCTTGGCAGTAAATTTAAATTAATTTAATTTAAATTTAACTTAATTTAAATTTAAATTAATTTTAATTTAATTTTATTTATTTTAAATTTAATTTTATTTATTTTTAATTTAATTTAATTTTAATTTTATGTTATTTTATTTTAATTTAATTTAATTTTAATTTATTTTTATTTAATATTAATCTAATTTAATTTAAATTTATCTAATTTTATTTCATTTTAATTAAATTAAATTAAAATTTTATTTTATTTTATTTTAATTTAATTTTAATAAAGAATATTTTAATAGTATAATTATCAACAATAGCATAATAATATAATATTTTATTTTTGAATTTTTATTTATTAAATAATAGTATTATGTTATAAATATAATTTATAATTATAATATGTATTATAAATTCTATATATTTAATATTGTCTTTTATTTTTATTAAGTAAAATACGAACATTTAAATTAAAATGGAAAAAACTAAAAAAAGAGAAATTTAGAATATAAAAAAAATCTGGAATATTAAAAGATTAAAGAGAAAAAATTAGAATAAATTATAAAAAGAAATAAAATCAATAAAAAGAAACAGAATAAATAAAATTAAAATAAATTAAAATTAAAATAAATTATAATAAATTATAATAAATTAAAATAAATTAAATTAAAGAAAAAGAAAATGAAAATAAATAAAAATAAATAAAATAAATAAAATAAATAAAATAAATAAAAATAAAATAGAAATATTAAAAAATACATTAAAATGAAATAAAAAATAAATATAAAAATATAAAAAGTTAAATAAAATAGAAAAAAAATTTAAAATAAATTAATAAAGAATAAAAACTAAAAAAAAACCGAAAACATTTTTAGAATTAGGAAATAATTCTCGAATTCCCGAATTCCCGAATTCTCTCAGCGCCCCCTGGCGGGGAAAGCGCAGCAAATCAAATATAAAATAAATGAATATAAATTAATATAAAATAAAATAAAATAAAATAAAATAAAATAAAATAAAATAAAATAAAATAAAATAAAATAAAATAAAATAATAAAATAAAATAAATATAAAATAAATAAAAATAAAATAAATAAGATAAATTAAAATAAAAATAAAATAAACCAAACCAAAATAAAATAAAATTAAATTAAACAAAACAAAATAAAATAAAACAACACAAAACAAAACTAAAATAAAAACAAAATAAACCAAAATAAAATAAAATATTAAAAATTTTAAATAAAACAATTTAAAACCAAACATAAAATAAAATGGAAAGAAAACAAAGACAGGACATTTTAATAAGTAAAAAAAAACCAGAATGAAAACTAAATAAAAAAAAATATAAATATTTAAAATGTAAAGATAAAAAATAAAATTAAGAGAAGAAAATAAAAAATTAAATATTCACGTAAAATTGAAAAATTAAAAAATAAAATGAAAAATAGAACAAAAAAGAATTAGTAAATAAAGAAATAATAAAATAAAAAAGGAAATAAAAAAGAAAAAATAAAGCAAAACAATATAAAACTAAATAAATAAAATTTAAAAATAAAATTTTATAATAAATATAACATAATAAATATTTTATATATATATTATATTCATTGCTTTATATTAATTATATATTAATTTTTATATCATGTATAAAATATATTATTTTGAAATTACTTTTTATTTCTATATTTGTTTCTATTTAGTTATAAATTTTGGTTTTAATTTTTTGTATTTAATTTTTTTGGTAATTTTAAAATTTTATTTTTTATCTTTACATTTT